CATTAAGAATAAACGATAAAAAACAAGTGGCTATTATGATAGCAATCCTTTGCAGCGGCGACAACAATGACGACAATAATAATAAAGGCAATGGCAACAGCAAACACCACACCAACTGCATTATCGTTAATCCTATTGAATAAATTAAATATGAAACAGACCTCGAAGAGAACATCTTCCTTGATGCCATCTCAAAAAAAAGAAAAAAAAAAAAAGACAACAACAATAATCCCAAGACAGAATGCAAAGACAAGCAGAACAAAACACCCAAAGCCAGCACTGAAGCTTAATGCAAAGCGGCCCTGGGACCCTCGCCCGCCGCACGCACACCTGGGGCAAGGGGGCAAGGGAGTGAAAGTAAGAGAGCAAGGGCGTAAGAGGATAAGGGGGCAATGTGATAAGGGAGCAAGAGGATAAGGGGCAATGTGATAAGGGAGCAAGTGGGAAAGAGGGTAAATGGATAACGGGGTACGGAAGCAAGGGGGTAATAGGATAAGGGGCAAGAGGGTAAGTGGATAATGGGGCATTAGGGTAAGGGAATAAGGGAGCAAGGGGTTAAGAGGACAATGGGGCAAGTAGATAATGGGGCAATGGGGTAAGGGAGCAAGTCCGTATGGGGGCAAGCTGGTAAGGGAACAAGGGAGCAAGGGGGGATCGGGCTGTCATGTAACTGTTTAGATATCTGTGTCACTGCCCATGACACTTGGCCGTCTATTTTTAGTTGTCCTGCAGATTTCCAGCTGCCTTGTCTCCTTTCGCGTTATCTTTCGTTGATATGACTATCGATGCCTTGCTTACCTCGTATCCTTGCCACCTACACGCTTACAAAAATAGGGTGAAGCGTGGCCGCGTGTCCGTGTCTCTTACCTTTGGGATTACCTGCTCTTAATGAAATCCTTCACAAATCCTACTATTTACTTTTCTCTTCGCTCCCTTCCAAGCTATCAGTATTACCATTACTGTCGTCATCACCAGAGAAAAATATACGAACACATGGAGAGAGAGAGAGAGACACACACACACACACACACACACACACACACACACACACACACACACACACACACACACACACACACACACACACACACACACACACACACACACACACACACACACACACACACACACACACACACAGAACGTCCTCTCCCAACAAGACCGGAGAGAGTTTTTAACAGGGAACTTTGCCAATAACATCGTAACATTCGCAAGAAATCGTGATCTTCTTCCGGACTTCCGTCAGTCCGAGATGTTAAAATCCTCTGGTAAAATGTAATACAAACAGATATTACAAATCAAATGTTCTTTTGCTATATTGGCCACTCAAACGCTAATATTGCAAACGGCCAATTCTACTTTTCGCAAAAGAAACCTTTATCAAGGAATTATCAATATCAGCGCCCACACCGCCAAAGACCCTAATTCACACGCACCGCACGCCCAATCCCTCATCCAAATCTAGGTACAATGTATGCAAATGCAATAATCCGAATGGTCTGCTTCCCTATAGAACTGGGACACAACGCAATCGGAAAACAAAAGGCGAAGTCCTAATGCAATGATTTATCCAAACCACCTCAATGCAAATAACATTTTCGCTCTAACAGCCCGCTACCTCGGTTCCTATCCGCCCCCACCCCCCCCCCTCCCTCCCTCCCCGGCCCGATATCCGCTCTTCGAGGTCGAAATCCTCCGCCAATCCTTTCCTTCCCTCCTAACTCTCTCCGCGGCGTCCTATGCTTCCTCTACATGCTTGTATTTCTTTCTTTCTTTCTCTTTCTCTCTCTCTCTCTCTCTCCCTCTCCCCTCTTCTTTCCTCTCCCTCTCCCTCTTCTTTCCTCTCCCTCTCCCTCTTCTTTCCTTTCCTCTCTTCCCTCTTCTTTCCTCTCTCTCTCTCTCTTCTTTCCTTCTCTCTCTCCCTCTTCTTTCCTCTCTCTCTCCCTCTTCTTTCCTCTCTCTCTCCCTCTTCTCCTCTCTCTCTCTCTCTCTTCTCTCTCTCCCCCTCTTCTTTCCTCTCTCTCCCCCTCTTCTTTCCTCTCTCTCCCCTCTTCTTCCTCTCTCTCCCTCTTCTTCCTCTCTCTCCCCCTCTTCTTTCCTCTCTCTCCCTCTTCTTTCCTCTGTCTCCCTCTTCTTTCCTCTCCCTCTTCTTTCCTCTTTCTTCTTCCTCTGTCTCCCTCTTCTTTCCTCTGTCTCCCTCTCTTTCTCTCTCTCCCTCTCTTTTCTCTCTCTCTTCTTCTTTCTTCTCTCTCCCTCTTCTTTCCTCTCTCTCCTCTCTCTCTCCCTCTTTTCTTCTCTCTCCTCTTCTTTCTCTCTCTCTCTTCTTTCTCTCTCTCTGCTCTCTCTCTCCCTCTTCTTTCCTCTCTCTCCCTCTTCTTTCCTCTCTCTCCTTCTTCTTTTTCTCTCTCTTTTTCTCTTCTTCTTCTTTTCTCTTCTTTCCTCTCTTTTCTTCTTTTTTCTCTTCTTTCCTCTCTCTTCTTTTTCTCTTCTTTCTTTTCTTTTTCTCTTTCCTCTTCTTTTTCTCTTCTTTCCTTTCTCTTTTTCTCTTCTTTCTTCTCTCCTTTCTTTGTTCCTTCATATTTCTTTTTCTTCCCTCTGCCTTTTCATTTCCCCTGCTTCACTTCTATCTTCACTCGATCTTTTCTTCCCTCCCTTTTTCGCTTTTATTTTCCCTCTTCCATGCTCTTTCTCACTCCCCCAAAGGGCAAATTTCTCTTAAGATGAAAGTGAAGTCAGTTTACAGCTTAAGGACTACGATGTTTCTACAACGTCAAAATAATATATTCACAAATACGATTTTTACTGACAATTCGCCTGTCAAAAAAAGGAAAAAAAAGTTGACTTTCTACATGAGCAAAAAACATTCTACCAAAGGACAGGGTTTCATGCTGTGATTACATAAGACAACATCCGCGTTAGACCACAAATTCAAAAAAGAAATGATTGCTGTAATAATTCCCTTCCCCTATCTGTTAGTGTGCCACTTTGACGGATTGCCTCCCCTCGTCCCCTCACTCTCGTTCCCCTCTCACCTTCTCCGACACGGGTTCCTTCGATGCCCAGTCCTTTTCCAACTCACTTTATTGGTTTCCATCTAATCCTTTTTGGCAGCGCTCCTCTCGTTCTACCATGTACCCTTCATCGCCTGTTTCCTGCACTCTTCCTTCCTCCACGCTCGTCTCCTCCACTCCGTAACCCCTTTGAGTTTTTTTTTTTTTTCTTCTCCTGTTTCTCCCCTTTCTATATTTCACTTCTTCCTCGTATCTCTCTTCTCCCATGTCTTGTCAATCTTTTTCGCTATTTTTATCAGAGTTCCACGAAATCTTTTGGCCTCTTATCAATTCCCTTCTCTTCACTTTCAATTCTAGGCCCCGTTTTTGTTTTTACTGAATTATTTTCAATTTTCAAGTTTTGTTCGATGCTTCTACCGAGAGATAATCTGGAATTCTGGAATTTTCGTTAATCTATTTGCATTTCAGTTGGCTTTCCTGTGCAAAATAAATGACGCAAGGGCTCTTCCTTTTATCTCAATTGAAATAATATGGATCTTTGTGTGGAGGAGACACTCTCACATCTAAATTGTTTCTAGGGCATCTGACATTTGAACAATATCCAAATAACAGTATTGTTTGAAAAATAATAGCTTTATTTTGGGAATAAACATGTAAACATATTTTTGCATATGCACTATTTTTACGGAAAACATTAAATGATACATCAAATATAGAGCATTTTGTTTGAAACAAGTGAGTCAAAATAATCTTTTGATACCTTGTGTGTGTATTTTCTGTCTCTGTCTCTGTCTCTGTCTCTGTCAGTCTGTGTGTGTGTGTGTGTGTGTGTGTGTGTGTGTGTGTGTGTGTGTGTGTGTGTGTGTGTGTGTGTGTGTGTGTGTGTGTGTGTGTGTGTGTGTGTGTGTGTGTGTGTGTGTGTGTGTGTGTGTGTGTGTGTGTGTGTGTGGTGGTGGTGGTGCGTGCGTGCGTGCGTGCGTGCGTGCGTGAGTGCGTGCGTGCGTGCGTGCGTGCGTGCGGGCGTGCGTCTCTCTCTCTCTCTCTCTCTCTCTCTCTCTCTCTCTCTCTCTCTCCTCTCTCTCTCTCTCTCTCTCTCTCTCCCCCCCCCCGCACAGCACATACGCCGTCCATACACACACATTAGGGCAGTTCTCGGTCCCGGCAACTCAAACAATCAGGGAGTAACGAGAGCCTCGCGTGATAACAAAACGCATCAATAACTGACAGTATGACATTACTGTCTCGGAACCCTCTCCAACCTCCTTCCCCTCACCTCGCCGTCGGCCCCTCACCTCCTCGTACTGCTGTTATCCTATTCTCGTCCCTTTCTGCTACTTCTGCTTAAAAAAAAGCTCCCTTCTGCTGCTGCTGTTCTGCTGGCTTGGCTTGCTCTGCTTAAAGGGGCTTCTTTATCCCTGCTTTCCCCTGAATGCGCTGGCCGGCTTACACTGCATTAGGGATTGCGGTCGCTGGGTACTCGCGTGGCTCCAGGGCCGTGTGTGCTGGCGCTGCGCTGATACCGAATACTTTTGATAGTACGGATGGTGAGGGTGATGGATATGATGCTGGTGATGACGATGCTTAGTCATTAGAGAATGAAAAAAGAAAAGAAAAGCAGAGAGTGAGAATGGAAAACAAAATGGAGAACGAACAGCAAGTAGGAATGGAAAAGAGAACGAAGGAGAAAACGGAAAAAAACAGAAGAGAGAGAAAAGCAAAGAGAACGCAGGAAAAATATATGGAAAAAATAATGAGAGCGCATGACAAAAAAGAAAAGAAAGCCAAAGAGCAGGCGAGAAAACAGCAGGAGAGGCGGAGCGCGCCCGGGCCAACGAGCGACAGACCGTCCGTAGTAACTATAATGAGCCATCAATATTCATGGGCAGGTGGCGTGGCGCTACACTGCTATGCGGCTGGAGTCTCGCGATCGCTGGGACACAATACACTTGCCACTTGGCCGCATGCCGTACCGCTACATATGTACGGCCAATGAGCTCTCCGATCATTAGTATGGCCATAGCGAGCACGCTTAATGCAGGCCTACATACTCTGAACTCCGATGGAAATGAAAGGACCAGTCTCCGTGCGGTGTTCTTCGCACGGGAGCGAATGGAAAAAGTGTCATTCTGAACAATTGGATCTTCACGTTTGAACTCCGATGGAAATGAAAGGACCAGTCTCCGTGCGGTGTTCTTCGCACGGGAGCGAATGGAAAAAGTGTCATTCTGAAACACCTTTCATTATTGTTCACTGATCTTCACGTTTGAAAAAGTGTCATTCTGAAACGCCTTTCTTCATTGCTCACTGATCTTCACGCTTGTTATAGGCACTGATATGGACAGAGAGCATCGAACGCAGTCAAATAACATGCGCACATCCCATCTTGTTACATTGCCTGAGAGGATATATGTCTAAACATTAACTGCTGCCATCGATGCTGCTGTTGCTGAAGCTATAGATGCTGCAGTTAAAGTAATGTTGCCGCCGCTGCTGTTGCCAATGCTTTTGCTGCCGCCACTACTGTTGCTATAAGTACTTCTGCATCTGCGCTAATAGCAAACCTGTTACCCCAATCCTTCTAACTATTGTAGTAATTACTTCTCTCACTACAACTTTTATTTTCGACAATATCAACAAATTGCAAGCAGTCATGTACACAACTGTAAACAACTGAGATATTTCACCCATTTCCTTCAAAGGCGAAGGAACACAAAGAGTGAAAGTTCTTCCTCCGCGACAAAGAAGACTCGCCATTGTCACGAAGCCGCCGGTCCCTCGCCGCGCCGGTCCCGCTCTCCTGGCGCTCTTGGGAGTTATGTAATACGGTATATCTCATAGCGTTATTATCATCAGCATTCTTTATCTGCACCTTTCTCTCTCTCTCTCTCTCTCTCTCTCTCTCTCTCTCTCTCTCTCTCTCTCTCTCTCTCTCTCTTCTCTCTCTCTCTCTCTCCTCTCTCTCTCTCTCTCTCTCTCACACCCTCAGCTTCACCCACCCTCAGCTTCACCCCACCCTCAGCTTCACCCCACCCTCAGCTTTCATCCCACCCTCAGCAGCTTCACCCCACCCTCAGCTTCACTTCTCAGCTTCATCCCACCCTCAGCAGTTCACCCTCAGCTTCACCACCTCAGCTTCACCCCACCCTCAGCTTCATCCCACCCTCAGCTTCATCCCACCCTCAGCTTCATCCCACCCTCAGCTTCACACCCCACCCTCAGCTCAGCTTCACCCACCCTCAGCTTCACCCCACCCTCAGCTTCCCCACCCTCAGCTTCACCCTCAGCTTCATCCCACCCTCAGCTTCACCCACCCTCAGCTTCACCCCACCCTCAGCTTCACCCCACCCTCAGCTTTCAGCTTCACCCCACCTCAGCTTCACCCCACCCTCAGCTTCACCACTTCATCCCACCCTCAGCTTCACATCCCACCCTCAGCTTCATCCCACCCTCAGCTTCTTCACCCCACCCTCAGCTTTCAGCACCCTCAGCTTCACCCCACCTCCTCACCCTCAGCTTCACCCACCCTCAGCTTTCACTTCACCCCACCTCAGCTTCATCCCACCCTCAGCTTCACCCCACCCTCAGCTTCACACCCCACCCTCAGCTTCACCCCACCCTCAGCTTCATCCACCCGCTTCACCCCACCCTCAGCTTCACCCCACCCTCAGCTTCACACCTCAGCTTCTTCATCCCACCCTCAGCTTCATTCATCATCCTCACCCACCCTCAGACGTACTTCTACCAAAATTATTTATCACCTGCCCCCCCCCCCCTTCCCCGCTCGATTCTTTTCATGTTCCTCAGGGGAAAGGGGGGGGTGAGGGGGGAGCTCATTTCATTTCCGAGCGCCTTAAGAGCACGGCATCAAACTCGTACACGAAGCAAGGGAAATTAATTCGAGTCCGCTCGTTTGCTCGGGCGTGATAAGCAGCTCATCGAAATTTTATTGTTGTGTTTTAATTATTCTCGAGGTAATAGTTCTACATTAATTAACGGAAAAAAGATCGAATCAAAGGGCGTCCGAGAGGGAGTTGGGGGGAGGGAGGAAAAGAGGGATGGTAGGGAGGGAAAGGAAGGGGGGGAAGGGGGGAGGGATATATATATATATATATATATATATATTATATATATATATATATAATATATATATATATATAGAGAGAGAGAGAGAGAGAGAGAGAGAGAGAGAGAGAGAGAGGAGAGAGAGAGAGAGAGAGAGAGAGAGAGAGAGAGAGAGAGAAAGAAAGAAAGAAAGAAAGAAAGAAAGAGAGAGAGAGAGAGAGAGAGAGAGAGAGAGAGAGAGAGAGAAGAGAGAGAGAGAGAGAGAGAGAGAGAGAGAAAGAAAGAGAAGAAAGAAAGAAAAAGAAAGAAAGAGAGAGAGAGAGAGAGAGAGAGAGAGAGAGAGAGAGAGAGAGAGAGAGAGAGAGTGAGTGAGTGAGTGAGTTTGGGGGAAGTTGGGGGTGGAAAGGAGAGAGGGCAGGAAAAGAGGGAAAAAAGGGAGGGAGGGAGGGTGTAAAAGATACATATAAAGCACATGGAGTGGAGATATTAACAATAAATAATAATAATAATAAGTGACAGAGAAATAATGGTAGAGAGTGAGTGAGTGAATGAGATCTTTCTCTCTCTCCCATGTCTTTCCTCTTCTTCCTTCCCCTCCTTATCTCCCTGCCCCTCTCTTTTGTTCATTCCTTCTTTCACTTTTCCCTCCCTCCCTCCCACTCGCTCTCTCTTCCTCTTTTCATTCCTCCCCCTCTCACTCGCTCATTCATCCCTTCCTCTTTTCCTCCATCTCTCTTATCTCTCCCTCCTTCCTTCTCTCTATTCTTTTATTCTCCTTCTCTTCTCTCTTTCGTTCTCTCTCCCATTTATCCTCTCCGTATCCTTCCCGTGATGCTCTTTTGTTTTGTTTCAACTTTCTTTCGCTTTGTTTCGCCCATCATTATTCTCTTCCTTCTCTCCTGTGTATGAATCTTTTATGCAATTCTTTTTCCCATTTCCATGCTAATAACATCCGTTCGTTCGCAATCCATTACGCATATCTAACGCTCACTATTCATTACCAACCTTTATCACAACTTCCTCCCCTCCTTCTCTCCTCCTCCTCCTCTCTCTATCATTCTCTCCTTTCTTGCCTTCCATCCCCCCTTCCCGACTTTATCACCACACCTTCCCCTCTTTTCCTCCTCCTGCCCCTTTGTCTGCCAGGTTCCCCGCGCTGCAATGAAGAGGAACGTAGCCAGGGGAAAGTTTCGGCTGCAATATCGCTGCTGTCTCTCGCAATATTATCTCGAACTTGTGCGAGGGAACTGTCACGCTGTCACCAAGCGAAAACACACACACAAACACACATATACAGTCACGTAGAAATGCACACGGCCACATATACAGATACAGAATTGAAGCCACAGAAACTAGAATGCCTGCATATAACTACATAAACGCAGATACAGGTCACCTGTACATATGTATAAGTATATATATATACATATGTGTGTGTGTGTGTGTGTGTGTGTGTGTGTGTGTGTGTGTGTGTGTGTGTGTGTGTGTGTGTGTGTGTGTGTGTGTGTTGTGGTGTGTGTGTGTGTGTGTGTGTGTGTATGTGTGTGTGTGTGTGTGTGTGTGTGTGTGTGTGTGGTGTGGTGTGTGTGTGTGTGTGTGTGTGTGTGTGTGTGTGTGTTGTGTGTGTGTGTGTGTGTGTGGTGTGTGTGGTGTGTGTGTGTGTGTGTGTGTGTGTGTGTGTGTGTGTGTGTGTGGTGTGTGTGTGTGTGTGTGTGTGTGTGTGTGTGTGTGTGTGTGTGTGTGTGTGTGTGTGTGTGTGTGTGTGTTGTGTGTGTGTGTGTGTGTGTGTGTTGTGTGTGTGGTGTGTGTGTGTGTGTGTGCGTGTGTGTGTGTGTGTGTGTGTGTGTGGTGTGCGTGTGCGTGTGTGTGCGTGTGCGCGTGTGTGTGTACGTACACTAAAGAACGCTTTTAAGCAGAGCATCACAAAAATAACGTCTCCAAGCCCACACGTGGATCTAACCCCCTCCCCCCCCTCCGCCGCACGCCCACCATGAGCCACACGGGCGTACCACCTGTGACGACAAAAGAGAGTTATCGGCCTTGCAGCACACGTGGCGGTCTGCGCTCGTCGAAGAGTGCCAAGGGCCCCATGGCGCTGCTGGCATCCCGCTGCTGTCGCCTAGCTTTATGTCAGCCCCAGGGTGCCATACATACACCGACACAAGCTCTCGATTCGAGCAAGTTAAAAAGCACTTTATGTTTATAGTCGCACATGTCTGTCTAATCTGGGAGCCATTTCGTTTAGTCACTTGTCACACAGGAACTTTACTGTAAAATATTATAGATATAGATACGATGTATTTACAGAGTGTAACTGCGTGTATGAGCAAGTTTATCTATCCGTCTGTTAATATGCTGTTATACACATACATACATACATAGGCAGACAGACAAGACATAAATGCACATATATGCGCGTGTTTAAATGTATGTGCAAAAACAGTACATGTATATTTTTCTTTGATCAAACAAACTAATTTATGCTCATTAAAAGAATATGGAAGACACCAGATCTTTTGAAACACATGGAAACATAATTCACACGACGAACGACAGACAACAGTTGGCTACCATATGATTTAAAAAATCACTAAATTCAAACCGTCGCCGAAGGAAATATAAACTCATGCGAGGATTTTCGTTGTTAGAATTTTCAGTCTTAGTCACTGTGATTTTTTTTTTTATCTTTCTCTCCCTTCGTCTTCGTTTTCATCTCTTCTTCCGCATCTTTTCCATTCCCTGTTCGTCTTTTGCCTCTCTTTAAATCCTCCTTTTTCCTATCCTCTGCACATTTTTCGTCTCTTTTTAATTTCGCCTTTTTGCTATCATCTCCCATCTCCTCCTCTCATCGTTTTTTATTTCCATCTATAAAGGCTCCCTCACTTCCCCTGCATTTTCTTCGAACATGGATCGCATCATTTCACCAAATCCAAATATTACACGGTTGAACGAAATGCCAACACAGTCTCATTATTTAGAAGAAAAAAAAACAATTCACCAAATTCTACAGTATTCAACCTGAGGGTGGATATTCGAGGGCTTTAGGACTGACAACCGGTTTATCTTTTCACAACGCTACTATTTGAAACAGGATTACACAATGAATATAGCAATTACAACTGGTCATCGCATGATCAACAGCATCGCCTTCTCTCATCTGTCAACCAAGATAAGAGTAACATTTATCCCTAAAAGAACAACAGAGAAACAACGTCTAGATACAATCAATTCTACCAAAACCATGAAACCCGGTAGCGAACCAAGAAATCTGAAACAAATGCCAACGGCAACTGAAAAAAGAAGTGATCAGTCTCGCCTCTCAATCAACTCTCCCCTTTCTACTTCCACTTTACTGGAGTTTAAAACGGAATGAATTTAATGAGAAGGGAGCAAGAGCCCGAACAAGCTGTCAAGTGCCATCGGGGAGTCAGGCCCCAGCGCCGGTGTGCCTTTTCACGGCAGCGCAAGCACACGCCCATAAACCTATCAATGATGTAGGTATCACAATTTACTCCTCCGATGCGCTACCCACCCGCTTTTGAACTATAACCAGCTGATAGGTACCCAGTGCCCCTAGCGCCCTGTCCCCTCGCCCCTTCCCTCCCTTATAATGCCCTCCCAGCATCACAAGGGAACGCCAGCCACCCCTTTCCAACACAAGTCCCTCGGCCGTGACCCAACAGTGTTAATTTACCGGGGGAATAAAGCACACCTTATCGCGTATGATGTACAGCAAGCGAGCGCGCGCCCCCTGTAAATCAGAGCCCTTACTTCGGGACTTTTGCCAGCGATGTCAAGAATTCTCTTGACGCAGGAAGATTCGCCGATTCGAGACGGCAGAGCGAACGCGCGACTGAACCTCAAAATGTGAACTCCTTTCGTGTATTTTTCGACGCCTCGCCTCGTGAATCGCGCTCGAAGCTACTCGAGAGGGAACGTCTCTTACAAGGATGACTCAAGAGAGCTGCAACCCTGACACCCTGAAGTTACACCCTCCATGAAGACAAATGTGTTTACTTGTTATAGCGTGCTCTCTCTTTACTCATGAGGATATTATGTCGGTTTTTGCTCTTTACTTCAACGGCTTCAAGACAATACAGGAACATGTTTAAGAAAGGGAAAGATGAAAACACAATTACAAAACACAAACAGATTCCTTTATTTTATCCTTTATTCCAACGTGTTTCTTTTCGTGCCTCTGCTCCTTCCCTGGTTCGCCCAAGAACGAACTTCTCTCCTCCCTCCAGCACTTACATCTCGAGGAATAAATATTATACAACTTGAGGGAATCTTATGCGAAGATTTTAGAAGTTCAAGTCCATTAGAAGCAAGGCGCCAATGCAACAAAAATGAGCTTCGGCTTGCTTGGCCTCTCATAGAAAACGGGGTTGTGTTCATCTATCTGTCTATCTGTCTGTATGAATGTCTCATATTTTATCTTTCTTTATCTTTCACTCTCCATCTCTTTCTTTCTTTCCCTTCCTTCATTTATTCTATCCTTCTTTCCTCTTTCCCTCCCTATCTGTCTGCCTGCCTTGTCTATCTGTCGTTTGTCTGTCTGCCTGTGTCTATCTGTCTGTATGTCTCTCTCACACACACTTATTCACACACTCTCCCACTTTCACATTCGCTCTCACTGGCACTTTCTTCTTCGGTCTTCCCTAATCTTCTTCTCTCGCTCATACCTTTCGTCTTCCTCCACTCTCCACTCCCTCTCATGTGTTTTTTTTTTCTCTTTTTCTCCTTTCCTTTTCTCTTTTTCCTCTTTCCCTATCTGTCCTTCTTTGTCTTTTTCCTTCGCAATTCCCCTACCTTCCTCTCTCCTTCCTTTTCCTTCCATTCCTCCTCTCCCCTTACCTACGAATGTATGTACATTCGTACCTACCTACCTATCAACTTACCTACCTACCTACATACATACCCCCCAATTTTCCTTCTTCCTTCGCCACTCCCTCCTTTCCTCCTTCCCTCGCCTTCCCCTTCTCCCCCCTTCCCCTTCCTCTCTTCGAGCCCCGTGACCTCGCCTGAGCGCCCCCTTCCCGCGGAAATCAATGAGCGAGCACCTGACATTAGAATTATTTAAACACCGGCTCCGGCCTGACCTCGCTCGCCACGGCCGGGCCCCGTCGCCTCTTGCGGAGCTCCGTACCTTCCGAGGAGCGTTTGGCATCAGATGGCACTTAACGCTGACTTGACGATCGATGTGACTGTTGGGCCTCGGAGCCGTCGGTGGCCGAGAGGCAGGGGGCCGTCGCTGCGGATGCTGTTCCATTGCAAACAGTGCGGTTCCGTGATAAGCCGGGTACAATATACTGTGCAAAATAGGTTTATGAATTAACATGAGTGCGCATGGCGACGGAAATATGTTTTTAAAAATTGCTACATTTATCCATAGCGCTTCATTTGCTGAAATAGCGAACTCGTAACACTCATTTGATCATCAATTATGGATGCTTGATCAACTCATCAAAATTAGTAGTGACGACGACGATGACGGCGAAGACAAAGACAATGACGACGGTGGTGGTGATAATGATGCTGATGGAGATGAAGGCGAAAATGGTGATGATGATAATGGTGATGAAGAAGATGATGATGATGATAATGCTGAAGATGAAGATGAAGACGATGATTATGGTGTTGAAGATGAAGATGAAGGCGAAGATAATGGTGATGATGATGTATTGTCGGAAGAAGCAAAGAATAAACAGGGGGAAGCCGGAGCAGAACTAAAAAAAAGAAACATTCTTCAAAACAAGATAGGTGAGGAAGAAGTCCCCGCGAGGCAGCTAAACAAATGACGGACGACCGAAGGGACAACTCCATAAATTAACAAAGCACGTGCACACTCCCATCCCTTCACGCAAACTCATTTGACTCCCCCCCCACCCTTCCCCTCTCCCACTTGCCTCCCTTTCACCTCCAACCTTGTCCTTATCTTAACCCCCTCCCCTTTCCCCTCATTTTTCCTCACGCCGCTTCGGTATCGACCATTAATATTCAGGAAGGTAAAGCGACCATAAATACATATATATATATGTGTGTGTGTGAGTGTGTATCCTTGACAAAAGCCAATTAGAATGGATCCAGTGTTAGTCAAACCTCAGGTGCGAGGCAGGTGCGATGCAGGGAGGGGTAAATTTCAGAAAGGGGGATTAAGGTGAGAACAAAAGGTAAGGGGGGGGGGGGGGGGTAGGAAATAAGAGTATGGATATATGAAAGACAGGAGAGGGAGAGAGGGAGAGGAGGGAGAGAGAGAGAGAGAGAGAGAGAGAGAGAGAGAGAGAGAGAGAGAGAGAGAGAGAGAGAGAGAGAGAGATGAGAGAGAGAGAGAGAGAGAGAGAGAGAGAGAGAGAGAGAGAGAGAGAGAGAGAGAGAG